TCGGAGACAGGGCATTCAAAGAGGAGATTATGGTTAAATGAGGTTGTAAGGGCGGGGCCCTCATCCAACGGGAACAGACAGGAAGAAAAGACACCAGGCCTGCTCTCCCATAAGGACAAAGGCCGTGTGAGGACACAGTGAGAAGAAAGCCACCTATAAGCCAAGGAGAATGGACTCGGGAGCAACCCTGCCCCGCCGTCCCCTGCCATCTTGATCTTGGACTTCCGGCCTCTGCAGTTGTGACAGGAGAGATTTCTATTGTTCAAGCCTAGTAAAGGTTTGCCATATGCATTGCAGGCTCCTTCAGCAGGCACCTAGAGAGCTTACGTTCCTTCCAACTTTTAGAAAATAAACACAGATTTCAAAATATTGAAGTAGAAAAAGAAAAGAAAAATAGCACTTTTGAGAACCTGCTATTTGCCTGGCATGATGTACTACTCGTTCAATACCCATCCTTCTGGGGTACCTGGGTGGCTCGGTCAGCTGAGCGTCTGACTCTGACTTGGCTTCAGCTCAGGTCATGATCCCAGGGTTGTGGGATCGAGCCCTGCATCGGACTCTGCACTGAACGTAGAGCCCAAGATTCTCTTTCTCCCTCTGTCCCTCTCCCATCGGCGCGTACGTGCTCTCTCAAATAAGAAATAAAATAAAAAAACACCCATCCTCCTTCTTCTGGTGCGATTTCCTCCAAGAAACATTCCTGCCTGCACTCTGTGTCCCATCCCCACCCCACTGTGGCTCCAGGAACGGGCACACGATACAGTACCTTTAAAGTGCACTAATCACCAGGATTTCGCACATTGGGCTCTATTAACACTTGCGGCCACAAAATTCTTTGTGGTGGGGGCTGTCGTGGGCATTGTAGCACGTTTCACAGCCTCTTTGGCCCCTACTAGATGCTAGCAGCACCCCCTAGCAGTGACAACCAGGAACGCCTCCAGATACTGTCATTAAACGTCCCCTGCTGGGGCAAAATTGCCCCTGGTCCAGAAGCCCCAAGGGTATGAGACCTCACACAAGTAAATGAGACTCAGGCCTGGGACTTGGCTAGAACTACTGGAAGGAGAAGTGTGTTCTGGGGATGCCAAGCGGGAACAGGGTCACCCTGAGCTGCTGGGGGCATCTTGCCCCCACACAGGGAGAGGCAGCCTGCGCATGAAGCCAACACAGAGTAAGGCAGAGCTGAGAGACAGAGAAGACAGACAGGTGGATTCGGCTGAGTTACATTCCAGTTATGTCAGCCAATTAGCTCCCTCTGGCCCTAAGCCAGTTTGGCTTGAGTCCCCGTCACAGGCATGGGTGACAGGACCCATTTTGTAAACAGGCTCTCCTGCAACCCTCAGAGCTGCGTGCTTATCCGAGCTCCACAGATTTCAAACTGCCTCCTCTTGTCCCTCCACTACCCGTCCACCCCTCCACCGTGCTTCCAACCGCCACAATGTCGTGCACGATGCATTGTTCACAGCCAGGCAGCAGGCTCGGGCCATGCCATTTGCTGCTGGTGCCCAAGTGCCAAAACAGTGCTTGGCACCCAGTAGGTGTTCAAAAGTATTTGCTGCACGGCTGGATGTGGTTATATGGCTTGCTCAAGAACAGGCCTAAGGATCCGATTTCAAAGCCCGTGTGAGTTTCCCTATGGTTTTTTGCATATTTGCTCTGCTCTGCTCTAGAGGGAAAAACTAGATCCCATGATATGTGTAAGGAGGCCAATTTCAGTGCAACTAGAACATAATCACGGCCAGTTCTGTCGAGTAATGGGGTGACACGTCTCAAGAAGAGCTCATGAGGATGGGGACAGGGACAACAGGGACGCTGGCCAACGTAGGATGGGTGCTGACTCCGTGTCAACCACGGAGAGGAACACCCTCATTTCATTTTCACAACTCTCCAACAGGCCACTGCCTTATCTTCATCTTGTCACCAACTAAGCAAAGCTTGGAGAATTTGAGTAACTCATACATGGCCCCATGAGCCAGGAGCATCACGGGTCCTCTAGCTGGCATCCATGCACCAACATGGTCACCATCCTGTCTCATGAGGGAAGGAGGGTTCTGTCACTAGAGCCATGTAAGAAGAGGAGGGATGACCCCAAATGAGGGGAGGGAGTCAACCAGAATTCTCCAAGCCAGAGGCTCGAGGAGACAAGGAACCTGGTCCCCTGAGACTAGATAATGGGGGTGCCTCATCTCCAGAGACCACTGCTGGCCCCTCGTGCTCCCCCGTCCTCATCCCTCTCCCAAACCACAGTCGAGTTCGTCATGGCCTAGCGAGGGTCAGCCCCCTGCTGGACCTGCTGGTGACCAGACCCGCCTGACTCTGGGGAGCCTCAACTCCACCCAAATTCCCCCCATGGTCATGTGTGTGAGCCCTCTCATCAGACCCCACCCCAGCCTTGCACATTAAGCCAGCCTCTTCTTTCTCCCCAGCGGCCTCCCAGAGACAATTAATGAAGCATCAAGAAAAGGTTTCAACAGACACCATGTGATGGGAAAAGCACAGGCTCCGGTCTGAGTTTCGGATCAACCTCATTCTTTGTCACCTCGGGTGAGCCACTAGGCCTCTCAGGGCCTCGGATTCATGACTTGTGGACCAGGGACAACAATACGGAGCTGTGGACGTAAACGAGGTTGGTAGGTCAAGCACGGGTACGTAGCAGGGGGTGAAGAAACGGGGGTAGATTCTCGGTGTTTGCTCCTTGTCCTCCCTACGGAGTTCCCATTCAAGCTGAGGCTTCATCCTGGCTCAACCTTTCTTCCCACAATGATGAAAAAGGGAACCGGCAGCTGCCTGGGGCACACGGACCAACACCTTTTGATGGAATCTCTCTCCGGCCTAAAACCCTTCCTTCTCTTAGAAAAGGAGTATCTGTCAAACGCGTCTCTTTTCCATTCCTTCTGCTTTTTTTTTTTTTTGCACCACGCCGTCAAGAGCTGCAAAGCCACTTCCACCGCCTGCATTGTACGTGTGGGAGAGGTGTTGGCTGTGAGGTGAGGTGGCAGAGTCCCACGTGACACACTGGCAATTTGGGGAGTCAGGACTTGTGGGGCCACGGCACCTTGACCCCGGCTACAGTGTGGACTTCCCTGTACCGTCTGCCTGGGTTCAGAGCTTCTTATGGGGCAGCCTTGGGGTGTCAGTGCCATGGCCCGATAAAAGGCAGGTATATGTCACAGGCCACAAATCCTGGGGCCGGGGCTGACTCCATCTAACTAGAATAGACAAGAGGACTGGCGTTAGAAACTGGCTTGGCCCAGGGGCTTAGCAACAGTGCCTCACAGACCCTGGCCATTGATGCCAATCCGGGGCCAGCCAGTCACTGACCTATGGTCAAACAGTCATGGACTTACAGAGCCATTGCCAGCATGCCCCTACTCAGATCTGCTCGGCATGATGGAAGGATCATGACGTGATGGAGCTGGTTCCAACCTGAGCTCGAGCTCTGTGTAAGCTCTCAATCCATCCCCCATCCAAGACCCCAGAGAGTGGAGAAATGGAATGAGGGTGCATGTGGGAGCGCCCGGAACATTGGGGGACCACAGAAAATGGCAGCCCTCACTCCACTCTGCCGTCACCGTACTTCTCTGGAGTACAGAGTTCCCATTCGTTACCACCTGGAAGTGGCCTTGGGCACAAGGAAAGTATCAGCACCTCCCCTGCCTCACTGGATACCACAGACTTTCCTGAGCGCCACATGCGTGTTTTCAGGGTGGCTTCCTGCCCCAGCCTTGTGAAAGTCGGCTCCGAAATAGCATCAGTTCTAACTTACTCCTTGGAGCGGATGTGAGGCCAAGTGTAAAGGAAGGGGGGGGGGCACCTTTTTAAGTAGGGTTTCTAGAGCCCTGAGGAGTGGAAAGATTTTCTGGGTCCTTTCCAATTCAGGTCAATGCAACATGGAGATGTGCTGAGCACTTACTATGTATGGGTAAGTATATGGGTGTCCGGATAATGAGGAGAAGGATGGTAAGTAAGTAATACGGTAAATAATAATAGCTTCTACTTCCTGAGTTCCTGCTAATGTGCTATTCTGCCCCCATTCGTTTTCTCTAGTCCCTGTAACATTTCCTGCGTCTTACAGAGGAGAAAATTGAGGTTCAAATACATCAAACGACTTGGCCAAAGGCACTAGAAAGTGGAACACTCGCGAGTCAAGTTCAGACATGAATGCTGCAGATTCTACTTCTGCACTAACACCTCCGTATCTCCCGAGAAGTTACAAGCGAAGATACAGAGAAAACATTTGGGGAGGTTTCTTGATAAATCAATCTGATCTCAGAGAACTCTTCACAGGACAGAAATGAGCGAGGCACGAAGCTCAGGAGGTAAAGTGGATCTGACCCGAGAGGGCCCAGATGGGAAATCTCAACATGAACTGCTTGACACCTACCATCCTGTATTTGTAATATGAAAGATCTGAAATAACCTAAATGTCTATCCATAGGAGACTGGCTTAATAAGTTATCATTCAGACCCATAAGAAAACACTGTCTGAGCTCCCACGTTTTGAAAAGCAGATCTATATGGATATACGTGGAAGAGTCTCTAAGGCACTCTAAGGCTCTTCTCCACTTGCTCCGGCGGCCAGATCCATTTCCTCCCTTCCTGTCCTGCTCTGAGCCCTGGGACCCGGTCCTCCTGGACTGCCCCCAAAAGGCTCCTGGTGTTTCTGGCTTCTACTTGGGTTTGACCAATGAGAGGCACTGACAGTGGGTTGGAGGGTGTGAGGAGAGAGAAGCCAGGGTATTTCCCCCCTACTCCCTCCCTGTTTGGACAATACAGTCGGACGCAGCCCAGTCCACACAGCCCTCCACAATTCAGCCCATTGTCCGTGGCTTCGCTTCTCCTTGGCCTCAGGTGCCCTATTTCCTCCCCTTCCTCTCCTGGCATTAAAATCTCTCCAGCTGGACTGTCTGAGCGGAGTTCTGTTGCCTTCTGGGATCCTGACTTTGATACATATTGTGAACATTACAGAGGGGATCCCCAAGCAGAGATGTCCCACTAACCTCCCAAGAACCTTTCCGATCAGCTTCACCAGTAACGTCCCCACGAGTCCACCAATGGCGAATATGGACACCGTCACAGACCAGAGCAGGGTCAGAGTGTCTTGGTCTATTGGATGTCCGTGCCTTCTTTCCCACGATTCATTGTAGAAGGACTTGATGTACTGAAAACAAACAACAAAACGTGTTATTCCATTCTGCTGCTTGTTACAAACGAACACAGCTTTTACAGAGCATTTTGTGCATGCGAGGCACTTTGCTAAGTTCTGTTTGAGCTTTATTTCATTGAACCTTTCCAACGAATTGTGTGGAGGGGCCCTACTTTTAACCTCGTTTTGCAGATAGGGACACTGAAGCTCAGAGAGACAAAGTGACTTGCTCAGTAAGTGGCAAACCTGAAAGCCAAACTCAAATCTGCCCCCAAACCTAGGGTAGCTGATTATACCTGGGCTTCTCCCACTTTGGTGCACAGCAGAACCAACTGGGAAGTGTGTTAACAACACACATATCTGAGATAAGAGGAAATCTTTGCCTTTGAGGTAGACGAAGATACAGGATGCAAAAAAAAACACCACAAAAGAAAAACAAAATGCTCATTTGGGTTTCGTCTAAATTAAAGTGTTTTATTCTTCAAAGGATACTTCGAAAAAAAAATGAAAAGGCAAGCCACAGGCTGAGATAACATATTTGCAACACATAAACTATAAAGGACTTATATCCACAACACACAGAGAACTCTAACAAGTCAATATGACAAACAACCCAATTAATTGAGCAAAAGACTTGAACTGACTCAGAGAAGATTCAAATGACCAGTAAGTTAATCACATGATGCTCAATGTCATTAGTCAACAGGCAAATGCAAATTAAAACCCCAACAAGACACTATTTTGCATTCTCTAGATCCCCATCATTGTCTTTTGTGATTTGGGGGGTTTCAGATGGTGACGGGGTGATTCTGATGTGCACCAAAGACTGGGGTCATGGCACTAAGCTCCTCAAGGAGTTCCATCCCCAAGATGTTCATAGCTATCCACTGACACCAGATACCAGAGCCAGCATCCATCACTGCAGAATAAACACAGGTTCGGGACACACAGACCACAGCGTGAATCCCAGCACAAAAAGTACTAATGATTTAAGCCAGCTGGACCTTGGCTCCCTCATCTACAAAATGGGAATGATGACACTGATGTCTCAGGGCTGTCGGGAGGGTCATGCAAGAGTATGGAGCAGTGCCCAGGGCTTGGGCAAAGCTCACACAATCCCCAGGAAGCTCAACTCTACCAGGTCTGGTAAAACCAAGTAGTGATCAGCAGTAGGCTCTCATGCACTGTGTTGAGATTAGACTACCATCTTGGAAAATAGTTTGGCATCATCTAGCAAAGTTGAAGATGCCCCTAACCTACAACCCAGCAAATCCATTTCTAGAAAGTTCCTCCAAAAAACTCTTTCCCACCTGCCCGAGGACATATCTACCCAAATGTCCACATAGCATTGCTTATAATAGCCCCAAATGGGAAACAACCGATGCCCACCAGCAGAATGGATAAACAAATCGTGGAAGAATCATCATATGAAACCCCACGGCCACTAACACGAATGAACTACAGCGACGTGCAAACCCATACAGTTAAACCTCACAAAATACAACATTGAACAAAATAAGCCAGAAACAAAACAGTACGTACAGTATGACACCATATTTCTATCCAAAAATATACAAAATATAAACGTTTTGGGGGGAATTACAGATTATAAAATACAAAGGAAAACAAAGAGATAATTGTTGCAAATGTCAGGTCAGTGGTCGCTCCTGGGGGCGGGGTGTAGAGATGATCTGGGAGGGGCATCTGGCAGGATCTTCTATTCTTAATCTTATTCTTAGCTGGGTGCTAGATTTATAATCATCCTCTAAACTCTGTGTGTGTATGTGTGTGTGTGTGTTCAATGCATACGTGTGCATCTTATATACTCTTTTTAAGCATAATGCATTCCACCAATCTACAACTTTTTTTTTTTTTAAGGTGGTAAAGTATTCCAGGCAGAGGGAAAAGCCAGGAGGGCATGGCAGAAGAAAGTCCATAGAACTGAAAAGAGGCCAGTGGGGGTGGAATGGGATGAGGAAGGGAAGGAAGGGCTGCCTGGAGTTGGAGGGGCAGGAAAGGGCAGGTCATACGGGACCTTAGAGGTCATTGTAATCAGTTTGCTTGTTGCCTGGACTGTGTGTGTGTGTGTGTGTGTGTGTGTGTGTGTGCGCGCGCACGCGCGCGCATGTCTTGGCCCGAGTGGAATGGGAAGCTATTGGAGGGTTTTAAGTGAGGGGAGGACATGGAGTGGTTTACATTTTCAGCGGACTGCTCTGCTTCAGAGTCGCAAGGGACCTAGAAGGAAGCTAGGGAGGAAGCTGGCCCTCTGTTGAGAGGCACAGCAACAGTCCCAAGATCTCAGTGGCCTGGACCCAGTAGTGAAGGTGGAGAGAAGGGGGTGGATCTGAGATACGTTTTGAGAGTAGGATGGACAAGACCAACTGGGGACTGGCCCCAGATCCTGGGAGGGAGGGTTCTAGACACGCCTAAGAGGAACGGAGAAGACTGCAAGGTTTCTGGCCTAGGCAAATGGGCTGATGGCAGGAGATGAGGGAAGCATCCTATCCCTATGTGATATCTATTCTCTTCCCATGTGTATCTACACTCTTCCCGGTGTTACTGGTTGAATTGTGACATGCC